GGTCCCTCTTGCTGCCTCTATCAGGGAGAGGCAGCAAGCAGGGGAGAAGCAGGAGCCAGTGTTGGGGGGAAATTTACTACATTTAAAATACAGAGCATCAGCATGGATGACCCTGGAGCTGCCTCTGCTGCAGCTTTGTACAGCAGCGCTTATCGAATAATCAATACGAATTATATCAACTATATGATTAGCTAGATAATTGCATTTTAACATCCTTAACTCTCACACAGGCTTTCACCTTTTGAGACAATGATTCCAATCAAAGCCACTTCATCAGTGACCACAAGTCATGGGCTGCTGTTTGATGACTGTGTAAAACCAATTGGTGCTCTCAGTAAAACAAGAGTCCTTATTATGACTGGCACCCTAACGGGAGCTAAACCAGAAAACCCTGTAGGTTGGGGTGGAAGCATCATTTCCTAATTAAATACTGGAGTGTTGAATAGAATCACAAGGGAAGTAGTGGCTACTCCATCACATTTAAAAAAATTGACTAGGCAGAGTGGTCCAGAATGCAGTAGAGGGAAAAATTCTGCCCTGCGAGGCAACTAGACAGAATGACCTAATACATCATTTTTATCATCTAAGAGTGGTGCTGAGGAAAGTAATGTATTCTGAGACAAAACTAATGAGTAGTAGATATCTTCTGATCTTTATTTGGCATATGAAGTGAATTTTTGTGGGGGCTTTTCCAGGGATAACCACGGTGCTGACCATGTCAACAATCATCACTGGTGTGAACGCCTCCATGCCTCGAGTTTCCTACATCAAAGCTGTAGACATTTACCTCTGGGTCAGTTTCGTGTTCGTTTTTCTCTCAGTGTTGGAATATGCAGCAGTGAACTACTTGACCACAGTGCAAGAGCGGAAGGAGAGGAAGATGCGAGAGAAGGTGAGACCATCACTTTACAGGTGGTGTGCTTTATATTGTGTTTAAGTAAATGGAAAAATTTGCGGTGGTATGTGATTAATTTGTTTACAATGCAGAAGCTCACACTGAAGTGCTGACACCACAAAAACAGGAGTTGCTCTCTTTGATCATTGTACAAAAGGAAGAGAGAAAGAAACAAAGATCAGAAGTGGGGATGTGTGCAACCTGGACGTCAGTAGAGAACATGGGGGAGGGCAAGAGGGGGGAAATCCAGACTCATATTTCCCTTTGGCTGTGTCAAGGGGTGACCAACTCTTGGAGACCCCTCAAGCCTAATTTCCTTTGATGGGGCAACTTGACCATCACCAAGTCAATTTACAGGGCACTGCACAGCCTCAGCCTATACACTTGATCCTTTTCTCAGGGTATTGTGGCCCAACAGCCTAAGTCCATATGCAAATCCCTGCTACTCAGGGTAATATGTCTCAAGTTCATATGCAGGAAAAACTCCCCCATGTGGGCGTATATACAGAATAGGGAGGTGGACCCAGGCCCTTACACACCACCGGGTCCCAGCACAAGGCCCTGTTGGCAGTGGCATAGTCCACTGCTTGCTCAGCAGGGAATTTTGTGGCCCAACAGCCTAAGTCCATATGCAAATCCCTGCTACTCAGGGTAATATGTCTCAAGTTCATATGCAGGAAAAACTCCCCCATGTGGGCGTATATACAGAATAGGGAGGTGGACCCAGGCCCTTACACACCACCGGGTCCCAGCACAAGGCCCTGTTGGCAGTGGCATAGTCCACTGCTTGCTCAGCAGGGAATTCTG